AAACTTTAAAGCCTGAAGCTCTGAGTTTCACTCTGAGGCGAAGGAATGAAAGACAAAATAACATAATAATAAAAGCAACATAGAATAAATTTATTCAATTAAAGCACACAGTGATACGTCATTACCTACTGATGACGTTTCTAGCACAATTTACTGCTCATTATCATTATCATATGATTATGACTTCTATTTTTATGTAGGCGATAGGATATTTTTAGTGATGTTTGTTGGTGACTTGAAAACATTTATGCTAAATTAATGAGCGATTAAAGAGTCAAGGCGCACAATAGAGTACAGCGGTGCAGGTAATCTCCCGACAGTTTGTTCACCTCATCTCCTCCTTTTTGTATTTTAAGATGGTACGGTTTGTTTTTTCATTATTTCACTGCGCACAGTTCCGCCACCTGTTAACCGATGTTCAAATGTGAGTTATGTGTGGTAAGCCGGATTACTTTGCAATATTCATAGGTGATGTGTCCAAAGAGTTTAACTACTCACCTGAACGTTGACTAATAAGTCCGAATTCGAATGGCACTTAGCCTACTTTAAGTATCATTTTTTCCCTTAGTTCTCACTGTTATGATCATTCAGTAATATTCGTGGGTCACTAAATGTACTCACACACACTTTTAATTTGTTCGCAACCCTACTGTTGCTCAATTCTGGGAGAACCGAAGAAAAATAGCATAAAGGATTATTTTATTTTTCAGATGTAACACTTCCGCGTCACATGATATACTGGAGATGGCTATTATACTTGAAACTCCTGGATGAAGAGAAAATATTATGCCATAAACTACCCTGAAAATTATGCATATTGCGTAAACTTATTGTACATAATCAAGCTACTGTTATTATTATTATTTTTGAGGAGAAATTTCACTATCCCTAGAAAGATATTCGCAGAATAATCAATCAGTTGAACATTATTATTATATATCCTTTGGATTTGAAGTCTAACAGAGGACTTCAAGAGTGCATCTTCATTTCACTCTGTTCCTTACTGTCTTTTAAAGCTGGCTCCATAACTATCCGTACCATCAGCCCCAACGGGTTAATCTCTGACGAAATCTCAGCACGAATACAGAGGGCTAGTTTCGCATATGCCAGTTTACGCCATCTCTGGAGTAGACGTGATATCCGACTATCGACCAAAGGGCGTGTGTACTACTCAGCAGTCTGCTCCGTCCTCCTTTATGGCTGTGAGACCTGTCCATTGAAAGCGGAAGACATGAAAAGATTAACTGTCTTTGATCATAGGTGTCTGCGTTCTATCTCCCGCGTGAAGTGGTATAATAAGGTGAGCAATATTGAGGTTAGGCGTCGAGTGCTAGGTAAGTGGGAGGGGAAATCAGTCGACGAGATAGTGAAATTACATCGACTGAGATGGTTAGGACATGCGTTACGTACACACTTCTAGTCATCGCCTTCCTCGACGGGTAATGTTAGCTGATATAGGGTCAGACTGGAAAAGAGCTAGCGGTGGTCAAACGAAAACATGGCGCCAGTCAATGAAATCTACAACAGTCAGTCTAAGCCACGTAGGAAGGTGTAGACTTCCTGACTGGTTGGAGTCCTCGGGACGGTAAAAACCAATGGTTGGAAACAATTGGTGACATGGCTCGAAATCGTTCTCAATGGCTGGCGCAGATGTATCCACTCCTTGTGACTTATGATTTCCAATGAAACTGTTTTGTTCTTCGTTCTTACTATTCCTTTGACTCACACCTCTGTTTACTGTCTATATTATGCATTTCTTCTACTTTCTTCTCTTCCTTTGTGTGCTACATGGAGTGTGGCGACCTGAACTGCCGCACACATGTGCAAAGTTCTATGTCAAAAACCGACCGACCGATCGACCGAAGCTTTCATTTCCTCTTGTGATTGTCTCATTCATATCACCCTCAGAGGTCTTACTCGTCGTTTCCGTTTACCTGCAACTCAAGGGCCTGCTTAAGTGTGGTATCATATATATATATATATATATATATATAAACAAAGTTAGAAAGATGTACGAGTACCTTGATATGATTATGAGCAATAAATTGTGCTCGAAACATCATCAGTAAATATTATTGTGAGACTTTATCAAAATAAATTTTACCCACAGTGGAATTATACTCTACCACAGTGCACAAGTTCTATTCTTATAGGTGTTGTATCGCTTGTAGGTCTCCTGAGAGTCTATCCAATCCATTTCATTCTGCATATTTGCTGGATAACATATTCTTGATTGGGTCTCTGGTTGCCAGAGTTTCTTGTTGCTTATACCTTTCAGGCAGGTCATTTGACCTTCAGTACTTAGACAATGAAAGCAACTATGGATGAAAGTCTGTAGCAGGTTGTAAAGGCTTTCGTTAACGCACGCGTCAGGTTCCTGTCTTAACAGAAGTGTAGAAAATTCTGGTGTGGTCCTTAGTGCTGAGTATCAGTCAAGCTTAATATATATGAAATTGCCGTTTCCACAGTGAATTTAATAGCTTCAGGATATTATATTAGATAGTTGGAGGCAATCGGCACGAAGCCCAGTCTGACCTAGGTTTCATGCTTGTTGGCACTCATCAGCAAGACGTGTCTGCAACCTTGAAGGAACTCATGTCCCTTCCGAGATTCGAACCCGCGTCACTCCATGAGTACTGCAGTCAGGAACGTTACCACCGAGATATTCGGGCTCGCGATTGACCTCCTCTAGGACTGTAGTGGATACTTTGGTTGGACACTAGTAACTAGTGTGATATGTCTAGTCCTTTCCTTTGTGCAGACTGAATTCTATCAGTCAGGTTCGTAATGTGGCCACCATTCTAGGTAGCTCGCCATCACGGTGCACTGTGAACTGAATCGCTCATATTAGATGGTTACAGGCAATCGGCAGGAGGCCCAGTCTGACCTAAGTTTCGTGACAGTTGGCACTCTCTGCAAGGCGTTTCTGACTGATAGAATTCAGTCTGCACCAAAGAAAGGATTAGACAGGTCATACTAATTACTAGTGTCCAATCGAAGCTTCAGAATATGTATTTTTTAAATCTAAACTGAAGTGTAACTTGGAAATCATCTGTGCAACAGTGGGATATTCAGCTGACACAGTGACAGCCTGGAATAATTTCTTGGATAAATCACACTGCAAGTGATCAAATGTTTCTTTAATACTTAAAGTAATATCTATATCAGGAAAACTGTGATAAACCACTGGGCAAACCTTGAATATACATCAAGCAGAAATCGTATAAAGTAATGTAAATCATCCTTTGAAACCCCCTCATTCAGACCATAGAATTTACTTTTAACCCAAAATCCCAGTTTTTCCCTCCTACATGGCTAAAACGATAAATGCTTCAACACTAGATATTCATTCAGACATCTATAAAACACAAAATAATTGGGCAAAGAATATCCTTTTCGATAATTTCTTCCTCTGGCTCAACAATTATATATTATTTTTATATACACAGAATATTCTAGAATAGTGGTCAATAACAATATTAGTATTTTTTTAAATAATATCGATTCGTTAAATAAGATCAACGGAATTACAGTTGACTAAAGATGCCTAAATTATAATAATAAAAAAAATAATATCAACTAAAATTAGAGAAATTCCACAACAATTTAGGGTCATTCAAACCTAGATGGACAAGGTGAAGACAATGTCTGAACTAGCTTCTTTTGGAAGCACAAATTAGGCTTCTTAATGTGGATCCCAACAGCCTCAGCAATATTTAGTAATCGAACTCTTAAGGCGAAATTAAGATTTGTTGGTATGCGGTAGATGACTCTGAAAGCCTGGTTAACATCAATCTTGTGTTCTGTATCCACAAGATGAGATGGAATAGCGCTACGAATAGATTTTGTTTGTCCTTTACTTAACCACTATGCAGGGTGATGTTCGGAAATCCGACGAGAAACACGCCTAATTTTACGGCCCATGTAACTGACTCCACAGGAGCTCCACGAGTAATTTTATTTCTACTCAATAATTAAGTAGCTATTTACAGCTGAATTACCCCGCTTATTATATCATTATTATTATATTACACCTCACTATAAGTGTGACCGTTGATTACTGCCTTGCTCACTAATAATTTGTTTCCTTTTCAGGAAACTTCAGTGGATCTACTTGATGATGGCAGGCAGGTGTAATGTGGAATTCACACTTCATATTGAAAGACAATTATTCTACCTGTGTGTATTATTTTTAATTCTAAGTGTTCATTAATCTTAAATAATAAATTCGCATAGTTGTTGTCGTATTTTTTCCTTTTTGTATTAAACAACTGAAATATATTTCTTTTCCATTAAGAACCTTTATTTTAATGGCAATCGCCTGTTTTTTATCAGCAACAACGTTTCTGTTTACGAGAATATGCGCCACAATTAGAAAGCAGCTGTCTGAAGGTTAACTCCATCAGAAAGACGGTTGTTAATTGGTTGAAGTAAAGCGAATAGGGGGGAATCAGGCTAATTAGGAGGAAACTATGCGATAAAAAGGGGAAATATGTGACATAAAAGGGGACATTGTGTTGAGTCTGGGAAAATAGAGAAATTCTCTGAAACTTTTTATTTATTTACCCTTTTTTCTCCATGGAATGTCCCACTTTTATCCCCCTTTTTTCACACTTTGTTCCCCCTTTTTGTCCGATTAGGTTAGCTTTAAAATTGTTTTAGAAGGATAGAAACGGTTTTTAATCAAGCCTTGTCGTTAACACCAACTGACTAGGCAGATAGAGATTGCAGTCAGGAATTTTCGGTACTAAGACATGATTTAAAAAACCTTAGTGACTCTTGAAATGTTGCTAGAGATGTGACAGTATCTGATACCTCCTGAAGTGAACGGTATGGTGTATAGTCAGAGGCTACTTCACTTCAATATGACTATGAACCACTACTAAGTGATGTGAGTGCCCTCCAATCATTTTCAGCAATCAGTATTATTCACGAGGTGTACAGTGTGACGAAGACTAGAAAATCCTTAGAATTTTAGCTCAAAACGAAACGAGACCTACCTTATTTACATCCGGTTTTGAAGAAAGTTGTACGTGTTTCTCCCTTTGAAATAGTTTATTCGTCTCATTAATCAGCATTTTTTGCTGAAGTGATTCTCCCTGATTCTCAAAATCTGTAAGATAAAAGTAAGAATGAGTTACTTGATATCTGTGCAGAAGTCGTCTCAAACCTATATCAGTTAGAGAAGCATTTACAACTGAACAACACTGACGACATCCACACTTCAGCTAATCAAAATTCCTACAAAACCGAAAATCTCAATAAGTTAGTAATTGATAGATGCAAGTATAACTAACCTGATGCTCACTAGCAACTGGCTTTATACAGGAAATTACCTGGAGTTCTAATGAGAAGCTTTTTGGCAGTGGGGTCCACCAGTTGAGGTAAGAAAATACTTTCTTGCCTCTGGTATTGGGTGGTGGTTGTACTATATTTATCACGAGTTGGCAGAAGTTAGAATTCATGGACCACTGGATCGGATCCGGTGTGGCTGAATGGTTTATGAGCTCACCTTGTGACCGGGATATCCTGGGTTTGAGCGGCAGTAGGTGTGTGCTACTGAATAGTCTCAAAATAGGAGGAAATAGCTGTCCAGTACTTCCTGCTTCTCAATGAATCTCCAGCTGTCACAGGCTACTGACTTAACTTATAAATAAGTTTAGGCAAAAACGGATCAATTAGAAAATATATTTGAAGTAAATTATGCAATGCAGAGTAGGCTGGAACAAATTCATATGTGAACTGTACAGAGAATCAATGAATGAACTGAATGTAATTTGATTGTGCATCTTATTGTCATATTTAATTTTTCCCCTGGGTCTATTAATAGTCCCACTATCTGAATCAAAGAAAATGCTCACGTTTAGATCAAACCTCCAATAGTTAACTAACTCTTTTAAAAACACAGGAAAATACGTAAGTCCCAGAAACAATTTTTTTATTGATTAGCATACTATGATGCAATAGGAATGACAGAATACAAAGACAAGGTCACTCACGCCAGTCGATCGTCGTTTTCAAAGGTCAATGCCTCCTAATTACCGACTGTCAGGGTAATTTGTCCTTAGAGAGCTAGGATTAGGTGTGAGGTTAACTCCCGAAAATACTTCAATGAAACCTTCAAGTGACGTAGTATAACAGGTCCTGGAGTAAAAGCTGAATAGGAAGCAACATGTTAGACATCCGAGGAAATGAAAGCATGTCAGCAGTCGTTCAGCCAGCTGACAGTGATAGCAGATAGCTGAATGGAATGGAGGTGCACTTCTGAAGCACTCTATATCTCAATGTACTGACTCATGAATAATGGTATGAATTGCTGTTCTTGTGTGGAAGCAGCTTATACTATCTAGTTATTTCAACCACAGCAGCATAATGAGCCAAAATTTCGAAGTGAATTATTCGCTATTGAATCATCTGAGGTAGAAATATCAACAGATTATTTAGAAGATAGAAGTAATTAGTTATTCTTAATGAAAATATATAGAATAAACCTCGTGATAACTAAACCATAAGTTATTCATGTGATGTGATAAATTTATAAGAAGTGTACAAAAATTGTTTTGGTTTTTTTTTCGAATTTACTCCTGATCTACCTTGATAGACAAGTAATCTATTAGAATTAGCACAATGATTAAAAATTACAAGAATGATAACTGGAAAGCATGGGGAAAACTTAGTCAAAAGTCAATTTTCTTGAGTGCATTCAGACCAAGGCCAAGTAATAATCTCATTTCTCATCGTCACCATCACCACATTCCTCAATTTATGTGTAAACATCTCTAGCGTGTCCTAGCTGGTGGAACACTGAGCTAGTTATTTGGAGGTTGATGGCTAGAATCGAATACTGTGGCCAACTGGATTTTCACCTTACCTTCGATCGTCACTCATGACATCAATCGGAGTCGGACAAACAAGGCTGTCCCAAACAGTCTCATCATCAATCAAAACAGTCTTGAAAATTAATCTGATGCTCACTAGTGACTTGCTACAGGACAGAGTTTCCTGGAGTTCTAGTGAGAAGTCATGACCAGTGAGATCCAACCAGTCAGGTGTGAGGATGGATTTCCCACCGATGATATTGGTTGGTGGTCGCGCTAAGTCACGAATTGGTAGAAGTTAGAATTTATGGGCTGACCATTTAATCGAGTCCCAGTGGCTGAATGGTATACGAGCTAGCTTGCCTTGTAACCGGAAGGTCCTGAGTTCGAACCCTGTTGATGGGTGAGTACTGCCAAGGATTCCCAAACTAGGATGAAACAGCTGTCTAGTACTCCAGTGCTGGTTTTCAATGGTTCTCTAACTGATATCAATCCGTGGTCAAACTCGTAAAAACAAATCAAAACAGTCTCAAATGAACGATACTCACCCAATTTCCTCCTGTTAAGACCCAGCTAAAAAATTAAGTAGAATATTATGATAATATATCATTTCATACATAGTCATTATGTAATTAATGCATAAAGTGATTATCGAACATTTGTCTAAAATGGTTGAATATAGTACAAGACAGTTCATTAATGACAAGTTTGATGCTATAAGAACCAATACGCATTGAGTCCACTGAATTATTAAAACTGTACTATTCTCTTAGTAATTTCTCAGAGACCAGGGGAACTGTGTACTAAAGTCGAGTCACTTTGTGTTAAAAGTCTGGGAAACAATGTTTCAATGTTCATTCGTCAGTATTGCATCACTGAACTGATTTATAGTGAAAAAGTGAAGTTGCAAGCATTTGGAGAGTAATGACACCTCAGGATGATTATCTTAGTGTTTTATAAGTTGAAAAATGCTTTGCTGACGACGAGACTATTGATTTCAGTGTAAACATATAAGGGTGGTAATGGCTAAGCATTTACTATGAACCTGTTTTTCAATGATCAGTTGGGCTGAATTTTTAATTCCTCTTCATAGATAGATTCAGATATACAATTATCAGCCGGTAAACATACACATAAATTCCTCCTACAGACTGAGATGTAAATGACCATTAGGGACTAATAAAGTGCGTCGGTGGCTTAGAGGTAGAATGCTTGCCAACCACGCCTATTGTGGTCCGGGGTTCTATCCCCAGCCGACGCACTCCTTTACCTCACCAAGCCGGTAACACGACCGGTAAACAGGGAAGGTTGAGCATGAGGCGGCCAGCAACCCCATCCCGTAAAAATAAATACCACTGCTATCAAAACTTCAAAGCTCCAGGTTGAAGCCCTATGATCCGCTAGGGTCGTAAAGAAAAAACAAAAAAGGGACTAATAATATCCATTCTACTGTTAACAGTAAATTAATCTGTTGCGTCAGCATCTATAGCATCAATGGTTGGTTGATAGAATGCTGACCAATCACGTAAGTGGTTCAGATTCAATTTCCCACCGATGCACTTCTAAATCTCGCCATATGATAGAGAGAAGCCTGGGCATGAAGCTAGCAATCCGACCAACTGGAACTTCAAAACTCAAAGCTTGAAGCTAAATGTTCTACTCGGGGGAGGGGGCAAATGAAATGAATAAAAAGATACCACACTTTAATTGTAGTCTTTTTAGATACTGATACTCAGGGAATATGCTGCATTGTCGAAGTCTTTGACGCCTATAATTTAACATCCAAAATCAATTCTTGAACTACACAGTCCAGCAAAGTACTAATGATTGTTTAGAAATCCGGACATTTAAAAGAACCACTTAATCTGATGGTGTTAGATTTCAGATTTTAAATATTACCAGTTAAAAGAAGTCAAGAAAATGGCATATATATTTATCTCCGTAGCATCAAATGCTAAACTCTGCATTCTATCATTTAGGGGAACGCAGCAAAAGAAACTATGCTATAACTACAGTATAAGGATGAACACATAAAAACGCAATGTTCAACTTGGATGGAACTCATAGAATTATGCCATAACAACATATTTCAAATTCAAATTCAGTAATCAAATATACCAACAGATACAAGGAACACTAATGGGATCGCCTATATCAGGACTAACAGCTGAACTCGTTATGCAAAGATTAGGATTAAGAGCCCCGCCAATAATCAAACTAAGCATCTTGGTACGTTATGTTGGTGATACACTCGTTATAACTTAAAGAAACAATTTGCAACTGATCAGCAAGATATTTGAAGACATTAAATTCACAAGAGAAGAAGAAGAATCAGACAACAAAATTCCATTCTTAGATATTTTAATCAAGAGGACTAACACAGGAAATTTGGAAACACAAGTATACAGAAAATCAACAGACACACACAGATCAAATACTCAAATATAACAGCAATAATCCAATGACTCACAGAAGAAACTGTATGCAAACATTGTTTAAAAGAGTTGAAACACACTCTAGTGCACTCCAGTCCTGAAGACAGTAGAAGAGAAATATCTACTAACTGTCTTCAAGAAGAATGAATACCCATACAATTTCATCAAAAAGGGTTTAAACTACAATCAAAATGCCAACAAGAAACCATCTTCAAAACACCACAAGAAAATTCATTCTACCATATATAACAGAATATCTCTGAAATACCGGCCAAAATATTAAGACCATTTGAAGAGGACATAGCACACAAGCCAATACAATCACTTCATTCAGTAGTGTGAAGACCAAAGGATCCAACAGCAAAAGAAGATAAGATCAATACTATTTACAAAATAAACTATGATAAACACTACATTGGTCAAATTAGTCGGCCTCTTCGACTCAGAACCCAAGAACATAAATTAGCTCTGAAAAGACGCGATGTATATTCTTTCATGTTAATGCATACAGACAATTATGGACATCAGTTTGATTCAGAGAATGTAGAAATTTAAACAGAGGAAACACAAAAATGCCAGGGAGTTTCTAGAAGCCTGGTACTCAAAGGAATCAGTGATCACTGACTGACTGACTAACTGGTTTCAACATTGAACTTTGAACCGATGTGCAGCAGTTCGAGTCACCACACTTCACTCAGCACACAAAGCAAGAGAAGAAAGTAAAAAGAAATGCAAAATAGAGACAGTAAACAGAGATATGAGGCAAAAAGAATAGTAATATCGAAGAACAATATAGTTTTATTGGGAGAGTGGATTCATCTGCGCCAGTCATTGAGAACGATTTTGAGCCATATCACCAACTGTCTTCAGACATTGGTGTTTACCGTCCCGAGGACCCCAACCAGGAAGTCTACACCTTCAGTGATCAAATTTACCAACTAATAAAAAATAAATCGCAAGACAAGAAAACTCCAATTCCAAGTCAATAAAATGGACCAGTAAAGATGTAAATTAACAACCAATCACGACAACAGTTGCCAAGACATACACTGACATCAGTCATAGAGAATTCAAACAAGTTCACTTTATATTAAAACTTGCACAGAAGCGATGTTGTCTAGAAAGACAATAGGGGCTTCATAACTAAATTAACCAGCTGAGAGAACACAACCAAATCAAAATCATCCATCTGAGCTACAAATCCCTCTTAGTCAATTAGTTAAATGGTCCAATAAAATTTAAACAAGTGGTATTAATTTAAACTCTGTTAAATTGAGAAAATTTCTCAGAACTATCATGACAACCAGTTTTTTTTAAAAGTACAATGATTTATTCCGCTTTTTTGATAAAAAAAAGTTGGAAAACACGCCGATTACGAATGAATAACCAAATATTAAAGTGATTCTCGTGAGTAGCGATAATCGTGAGCTCTGTCTACGCTTGATGTGATGATAGCTGAGTCTCACTATAGTGAGATTTTTGATGAGTTTTCTAACGCTCACTTTGATGTGTTGCAAAAATATTCTAATAACGATTTATGTCTACAGCTAGTAGTACGTTATCGGTTTTATCCTTTCTATTTTTTTCATAGTACAGTGTTTGAATAATTTATCCTCTCTACTTCTGTTGAATAGATTTTAATATATTAAATATTCCCATAGTAAAATTTCGAACAACACATTTAAGCGAACAATATTGTTTTCAATTAGATCTCATCAGGCTTAACTCTAATATATATAAGTTTACAAATAAAATTCAAATATTAACCAATCATGGTGTTTTGTCTATAGGATAATAAGATGGTGAATATAAATTGTGCAATTAGTCATAATAATAGTAATGATAATAATAATAATGGTTTTATCAATAATAAAGATGAAAAAGTGAGGCAATCTGTGATAACACGAATAATGAAAAAACATCATGATTAAACAAACAAATGTTCAGGTGGAAGTAGTCGATAAAGGCTAGTAAAAACAAATGAACCGATTAAGTAATGCTAGATTGTAAGGGTAGTAAATGAAACACGTTTTTAATGAAGATGTGATAAGATTAAGGGATGATAAGAAAGGGGTTGAAAATATAAACAAGGGGTGGTGTAGAAGTCATTGGTAGGTTATGTCTTAATAGGCCAAGGGAGGGATAATGGCTATACATAGTTTAGGTTTAATAGTTCGAATGCCTATCGCCTCAGCTGTGTGCAGTAGACCAATACGAAGTCTCTTTGAAAGATTCGGTGGGATACGATGAATTACTTTGAAAGCTCTCGTTTTCTCCACTACATAACCACTATCAATTAAATGTGACAAAATTGAGCTACGGATTGTTTTTGTCTGTCCTTTGCCAAACCACGATGGGAGATGTTCATTAACACGTTGGCTAAGCTGTCTAGTAGTACGCCCAATATAACTGTCACCGCAGGTGCAGTTGAATTGATAAATGCACATAGATGTGGCAAAACTATCCAGCTTATCCTTCGTTTGCGTCCCAATCTTTCGTTGGCTAGAGAATGACAAACATAGGTATGCTGAGTAAAACGTTCTCCGTATACTCCTGGAAAGTCTCTGGAACAAAGTCTCACTAGATAAGTCACCATTAAATTGTAAGTTAAGAGATAGAGGCTTTTTACGTGCAGTCAGAGTCTCAGGTTTTCTCTCTGATGTTTTCATATGTTTCTTTATGAAACTACTCAGATAGCCCATCTCCATCAAGGAATCGTGAATATATTCAAATTCCTTTTGTAAGAGGTCATCCGTACATATCTTTCTTGCTCTGCTCGTAAGACCTTTAACAACATTTCTTTTATATTTAATGGGCACGTAAATAAGGAAGTGTGTGTATTGCCCTGTGAATGTGCTTTTTCTATACACGCTTCTCCCAAGTGACCCATCTTCTCGCCTACTTAGCAAGACGTCCAGAAAATGTAGTTTACTATCCTGCTCTTATTCACAAATAAAATTAAGCAAAGGGTGGATTTTGTGGAATTTCATCAACAATTCGTCTTTGTTTGCATTTCCACCAACTAAGATAAATCCTTTATCGACATAACAGTAATACATATCCAACTCCTTGATGATGTCTTTCAATCTCCCGTTTTCAAGTTTTTCGAGGAAGAAGTCAGCTAATATTGGGCCTAATGGTGAACCCACAGATATTCCATCTACTTGTCGGTAGTATGAATTATTGAAGACAAAGTGCACATTCATTGTGCATTTAAGGAGCAGTTCTTTGAGGCTAAACAAGGGAATTCCTAAGTCCAATTGTCTTTCGGAGATTTCTTGATAAATGTAATCTACTGTCTCCATAAGTGGTACATTAGTGAATAGTGATGATACATCCATGGATAACATGCGTTTATACCTCACATTAGTCTCATATATTTTAGAAATAAAGTCGAAGACATCACTAATTCTATGTTGCACGATTTCTCTGTGCAAAGGATCCAGAATCTGGACTAACCACTTCGCTTTTCCGTGAAATGGAGAATTATACATATCTAAAACAGGGCGAAGAGGAAGACCCGGTTTGTGCACTTTGGGTAGACCGTAAAGACGTGGAGTATTGGTACCCGTCGGTTTCATGGACTCAAACGTATCCGGTGATAGTACCCCTTTTTGGTTCAGTTTTTTGAGAGAGTCGATCATTAGTTTCTCCGCTCTTACATTGAGGTCTTTGGAAACACCAAGAGATGGGAATTTAGTTTGATCAATCAAAATACCTCCCATTTTCTCAACATAATCGCTTTTTTCCAGTAAAACTATACCGTCACCTTTATCTGGTTTGCTAATAATTAAGCTTGCGTTACTTCTAAGTTCTCTTAGCGCTTCTCTGGGTTGCTTAGATAACAGACTATTTACTGAATGTCTATTATTTTTGTATTGCAGGCAGCTGTCAACTAGCGTCGTTTTGAACCTAGTTAGTTCATCGTCCGATGATGGGGTAAGGTCTGACGTTTGAGAATACAAATCCTTACTATTGATAAAACCATTATTATTATCATCATCATTACTACTATTATGACTAATTGCACAATTTATATTCACCATCTTATTAGTGTTTCAAATTATCAAAATACTTGATATAAGGAAAAAACTTGGGCACTGTGGTAGAGTATAATTCAATTGTGGATAAAATCTTATTTTGATAAAATCACACAGTGTTATACAGTAATATTCACCGATGGAGTTTCGAGCACAATTGATTGCTGCTAATAATCATATCGTATTCTAACTTGATATGATTACGAGCAATAATTTCTGCTCGAAACCTCATCAGTAAGTATCAGACTACTTGATTTCCAAAGGGATATAGTTAACAGACAGTTTCTGAGCTGAACAGAACAATCTAATTGTAATCAAATCTCAGTCAGTGGGGACATAACGCAGTCCGTTGATCTGTTGAAAAGCCAAAGTTATGGGGCAATTTATTGTGGAAAAATGTATATATGTATATATGAAAGACAAACCTGTACTGTCGCATCCACCATAAGTGCACCTATTCATTGAAACACAGAGGTTTGTTTAAAAAAGGATGTTGAATTTACAAAATAGTCTTACATAGGATAATCCATGTAGCACGCATTATACCTGCTTGTGAGTAGAATATGTTATCAAAGTTTATATACTTATACACTTACTGTACAAATATTTTGAACTATCTGAACCGCCAAATAGCAGAATTTAGAACTGAATATTTTTATTGTTGTTGTTGTTGATTTTGTTCAATCCGCAATCGTCAAACAAAGTTATACGGATCAACCTTTGCTCAAATTAATTAACTTGATATTTCTAATCTATATATATAATAAAGTTAGGCAGAATGATAGAGATATTTATTCAAAATGAGTTAGAAATACATAATACTTAAAGTTCAATGGTTTCAATATGCGAATCCTAAAACGGATGATAAGTAAATAAAAAGTCTTCCTTTGATCTATGAGGCTATCTGAGATAGATTTCGACTGGCTGACTGTTGGCGATATGACTGATTCATAATAATTTTCAAGTAAGGATTTTTGTTTGGCTGCATGGAGGATTTCATCATGATTTGACATCAGTTAGAGAACCACTGGAAAAACTGGGAGTACTGGACAACTGTTTCGTCCCAGTTTGGGACTCTTCAGCAGTAATTAATAATAATAGCTTGATTCTGAAGAAAATGCCTACGAAATATACAGAATTCTAAAAGTGATAAGAGTTAGAGAAAATATGATAAATAAGGTTGAACATCAACCCAGGTTTTATTTATTTTTCTTCGTTAGAAGAACCTATGTTAGACAAAGTCCAGTGATTCAAGCAGACTGCCAACTTGACCGCAGGGTTCGAACAAGCAGTCTCTTAATTACTGCTCCACAAGTTATAGCTGAGTCGCTAGTGCACTAAACCAGTATGAAGATTTTCCTTGCCCCCTACCCTGTAAGGATTTTATTTGCCTGAAGTTTGATCACAGATTAATGTCAGTTAGAGAACCATTGAAAACCAGAGAGTACTGGACAGCTCTTTCGTCTTAGCCCGAGACTATTCGGGTTAGGACTTCGAACCCAGTACCTTCTGATTACAAGGCGTGCTCGTAGACCATTCAGTCACCTGGTTCCGACTCAGTGACCCATGAATTTCAACTGATATCAATCTGTGATCAGACTTCACACAAACGTAATCCCTACAAACTGACTCTGAAAGATTAACCTAATGCTCACTGGTGAGTGGCAACAAGTTGAAGTAGCCTGAAGTTGTAGTAAGAAATCGTGACCAGTGGGTTCCACCAGGTTGGGTGTAAGGACAAGTACACGATGATGATACTGGCTGGTGTTTGTACTAAAATCACCAATTGGTAGAAGCTGGAATTCATGGGTCAGTGAGTCGGGTCCCAGTGGCTGAATAGTTCGGGGTTAATACTGCTGAAGAGCCCCAAACTAGGTGAAAACAGCTGTCGAATATTCCCTGGTTTTCAATGGCTGTCTAACTGATATCAATCCGTGATCAAACTTGAAAAGGATTCTTGTTATTATTTATCAAGTAAATTAATGTTATATGTCATTGACAGACACTAGCTCGCTTGTGAGTTTAACGCCTACAAACAGCATTATTTCTAAGGTGCTTCGAAATCCCACCAACTTCATTTTCCCTCGTATTTCTAAATCATCCTACACACTCTGGTTTTTATGAATTATTGACTATTTTGACTGTATAAAAATAGAATTCTAACTTAGGTATCAGACAAAATTAAGAAGAAAACTTTAAGATAGTTAAAATAAGCGCAAATTCTAAATAGTTTAGAGGTAGTAGGAAGTTGTCAGATTATTACAATCAAGTAATGATGGCCAAGGTGTGAGGAGCAACTGTGAATGAACTTCTTCTGATCCCTTAAGTTTGGCTTCTTCGTCTTCTTCAGGTGGATTCCAACAGTCTTAGTGATACTCTGAAAGAGAAACGTTTGAGACAAAATTAAGATTAGTCAAAATATAGTAGATACCTTCAAATGCCTTGTTAATACAGACTTTATATTCATTGTCTACACGGTGAGCTAAAGTAGAACTACGAACAGACCTTGTTTGTCCCTTGCTTTGCTACTCAGGATGATGTTCAGAAATTCGATGATGAAAATGCCTAATTGTACACTCTTATGGAGCCTGTTATATAATTGAGCGTACAATCTTAGTTTTACCTTACGAGTTTTTCCTTCACATATGGCTGAAATCTAGCTAATGTGATCAGAAGAAGTTCGTCCACACGCTTTCCCTACCTTGGTCATCATTAGTTAATTGTGAAGCTCCATCAATTCCTTCTCCCCTTAACGTAATTTACAAGCTACTGTTGGCTTAATTATTCTTAACTGTCGCATAAATTTTCTTTGCATCGGTGGCACAGTGGTAGAATGATCGCCAGCCACACAGGTGGTTCAGGGTTCGAGCCCCGGCAACCGACGCACTCCTTTACCTCGTTAAGCCAGTAATAAGACTGGTAAAGAAAGAAGGTTCGGTAAGCGGCTAGCAACCCTCTCCCGTAAAAATAGATACCACTGCTATGGAAACTTCAAAGCTGTAACCTGAAGCCCTATGTTCCACTGGAAAGGTAAAGGAATGAAAATAAAAATTCTTAAATAAGTAAATTTTCTTAATTTAATCTAATATTCAATTTATAATTATATTTTTATGTATATTATCACTAACACACGCTTTGAACCTTAACTCTGTTGATCTTGACAACTCAAGATTTAGGAAAAAATTCAGCAAAGAATATCCTTTTCGATAATTTCCTCTCTCTGCTCTACAATATATATATATGTATGTTTGTGCGTCGGTGGCACACCGGTATAGAATGCTTGCTAACCACACCTCATACGGTCCGGGGTTCTATCCCTGGCCGACACACTCCTTTACCTCACTCACTACGCCAGCAGTAAGACTGGTAAAGAGGGAAGGCACGGTATGAGAATAAACACCACTGCTACCGAAACTTCATGCCTCTAGCTTGAAGCCCTATGTTCCACTGGGAACGTAAAGGAAATAAAAACAATAATGGTGTTTTTAAATACTATCGATTTTTTAAGTAAGATTAATGGAATTATAATAAGCATACAAATGTAATAGCAAATAGAATATCAAATAAAATTGAGCGAAATTTCCACAACAAATTGAGGATCATTAAAACCTTGATGACCGAGGTAAGGACAGTGTCTGAACCAATTACTTTTGGATATATAATTTAGTCTACTTAATGTCGATCCCAACAGCCAGCCTCAGCAATATGTAGTAGACGAACTCTTAAGGTGAAGTTAAGATTAGTTGGTATGCAGTAGATGACTTTGAAAGTCTCGTTAACATCAATCTTGTATTCTGTTTCCTTCACGTGAGATCTATGGGTGGATTTTGTTGGTCCTATATTGCTTCAACCATTACAACAGGGATTTTATACACTAAACCAATCTTGTTGCTTATTGTAACTATGTAACATGTAAATACATTCATCACATCAAAATCAGTTGTTTGTGCCTAGAAACTTTGAACGTTCTTTTCGCTCCCAGACAGTCTGATAGTATGGAGACTTTAGGCAAGAAAATGGTGATTTCCATGAGCTGTACCTATTGATATCTGAAGTGACTGAGACAGTGGATTCTGGAAAATTAAACAGATGAAGGTTATTATTATTATTCCCGGCATTCCGACTCGAACATGGGGATACAACAACACATCTCCACTTTGTCCCGTTTCCTGCCATCCTCTTCAGCCAAGTCCACGATTGACCAAACTCTCTCATCTCTTCCTCACACGATCTCCTCCATGTCACCCTCGCATCGACGACCCACTCTTCGCTTCCCATTTCGATTCCACTCGAGGGCCAGAGATGTAGAGATGGTGTGAAATCAACTTGGGAAATGAGAATTCCTCAATTTAGATTATTTAACAGAACGTAATAAATGAATAAACATAAAGAAGACAGAGGTGAAGAAGATACCTAACCGGCAGCAACAAATATCAGTCACTATCAATGGAAAAAATTCGGACGAAGTTAATTCTTCCAATTACACAGGTAGCATCGTTTTAACTAAAGGAGTGAACATTGATGAAGATGTCTGAAGCAGGACTGGAAAGGCAAAATAAACCTTCATCTCTTTGAAACTAATGTGAAAATCTTCTGTAATCGATATAAACAACAAGATTTGGATTTTGAATACCAACGTTTTGAATACCAACTTCTTCTATTTGGTTCACAGACTTCGTGCGTTACCAAAAGTATCTCCAACAGCCTGATGAAGACCCTCACTAACATCTGCTTTCTCTCGGTACTGAAGATCAGATCAGGCCAGAGAGAATTAGCAACAAGATACTCTGAAAAAGAACCAACTAAGAACATATGCAGGAGGAAATGGAGACGCATTGAGCCCACACTGAGGAGATTGTTGAATGATATCCCTCACCAGGACATCCCTTCAGCGGGCCCCTGATGCCAAAAGACGAAATGGGCAAAGATCTGAGGGTGAGATGCAGGAGATTGTATAATAAGAAGATGAAAGCTTACGGGTAGTAGTGAAGGGAATAATATTAATAATAATAAACAATCATTTATTCAGCAACGGAATTGTGAGTCGTCGTCTCATTTTTCGACGGCATACTTTCTTCTTTTAGATATTTGATCTCAAACTAAATGGCCATGGAAGCCTATCTCATAGACAATATTCTACACTTCGATTATAGCCCTTTAAACATTTGCCATCAATATCTTAGACACTAAACATTTGTAGAAGTAATTGTTTCATAAGAAAATTCATAAGAAATTAAATGCCTAGGCGTCATTCTATCTGCTGATCTCTCCTGGTCGTCTCATATCTTGACGATTTCTAAGCGAATACTCCGTCCTACGTTCTACATCAAGAAGTTAAGACATTTTGGTATAAACCAACCCTTTCTCCTACTATTCGTTAACTCTCGCATTCTGCCTATTATTCTCTATTGTTCCCCCTTAGTTTTTCCCGGCCTACTGAAGAAAGACTATGACATATTACGTAGGATGTTAAAGGTTGTCAGCAGCATAAGCAACGTGCCACTTAACCAGCTTGTTAATATTCTGGTCGACAGGCACATGGACTCATG